CTGCCTCAGCCTCCTGAGTAGCTGGGATTACAGGCACGCACCACCATGCCCAGCTAATTTTTTGTATTTTTAGTAGAGAAGGGGTTTCACCATGTTGACCAGGATGGTCTCGATCTCTTGACCTCGTGATCCACCCGCCTCAGCCTCCCAGAGTGCTGGGATTACAGGTTTGAGCCACTGCGCCCGGCCATCTTTTTTTTTTTTTAATGCACTTACAAATATATGTGTATGTGTCTATATGTTTAGTTAGGTTTGTTTTTTTAAAAAAATAGACTTCTTCTATACTCATAGAACCACCAGTTAAAACAGCATAGAACAAACATCCTACCATGTCTGTTACATGAGGATCTATCTCATTCTTTTTAATGGCTGCATAATATTCAATAGTATGGATTTACCATAATTTATATAATCATTACCAAATTGAGGATATTTGGGTTATCTCCCAGCTTTTCACAATTAAAGTAATGCTGTAGTTAGCATGCTTTTACATTTATTCTTGCATATTTGTTCAAGTATTTTTGATAATTTTCCAGAAGAAAATTGTTGGGTCAAAGTGTATGTACAAAGTACATGCTAATTTGCTTTCTAATTTACCCTAAGAGTGCCCCTTTCCACATCTTCTCTACTACTAGATACTATTTGTCTAACTTTTACCAATTTCTAATTTTAATTTCCTAATCATTAGTGATGTTGAACATCTTTTCATGTGCTTACTAGCCATTTACAATTCTGTAGATTGCCTGATGTTATAGATATTTCTGAGGTTCTTGATGAGTACAACTATATTTTTTCTAAAAACAGTTGCTGTCATTTGTATTTCTCCAAGATTGTACAAGAGTGCCTTTGTCACTACACATAAAATTGTGATCTCAAAATTCTCTCTTACTAAACGGTGTTTTGTTAGGCAATTTTCGTTCTGCTCTCAATGATGTGACAGCTGCCAGAAAGCTAAAACCCTGCCACCTCAAAGCAATAATAAGAGGTAAGTCTTGTAGAACTGCAGTATGATTGTCGTTATGGAAAAGCTAGTACTCACTGCACCAAAAAGGTGACATTTAAAGCTTTGATATGAAGGTGCTAGGATACTAATAAAGTCATCTTATTTTTGGAGTCTGGATATTAAGTTCCTGTTCTTTATCAACAGCAACGTATCACTTTTAAGAGAATTCCTTAGAGAATGACTTAACCCTTTATGTTTTAAGAATTTGTGGAGAAATAGAAACCTCTCATTTTAAATTAATACATAATAAAATTAATTAAAACAAAGCAGTTACAAAAGCCACATTCTGTTTTTTGTTTTTTTGTTGTTGTTGTTTTTTTTTTTTTTTTCAAATTAGCTGATTGAAAGGCAAGGTCTTAAATGCCATGTTAATGTTAATTAAAAGAAAAGTTATGGGACCTTTGCTGATCACTCTGGTGCTGAGATGTTCCCAGATAATGTTTTCTCTTGTAGTCTGACCTTTCTATGTAATAATAGTGCTTTTATTGCTTTTATACTTCACCTTTTCTTTGAGAAGCTCATAGGTGCTTTGCAAACTTTAATTTATTCATCACATTTTAATCTTCCCTGCATCCCCATGGACCAGTTTAAAATGCTTTATCAAAATTATGCCTTTTTAAATGTTCGTGGTTAAGGGCAGCAGGCAGATCCATGTCCCTCAGCTGTAGGAAAAGAAGGTACTGAGCAAAGATTGGCTGACAAATTGAATCTAGGTAGTCTGTGGAATTCGCCTCAGGCTGGAAGTTTGTAATCCTTGATTCAGTTGTTGGTTTAACTTACAGTGTGACCTTAGCAAGACACCACTTTGAATATCAATTTGCTCATCTCTGGAAGATGAGGTTAGATTCTGTTGACATCTAAGCTCTTACAATTCTTATATTTTGAAATTCTGTGGAAAACCTAAAGAGGCTAACTGGAGAAAGATGTACATGATAACATTTAAAGTTTTTTTGTGATGGGGGAAAGGTAGCCATAAAGCACAAAATTAGGAGAGACCTGTTGTCTTTGGCCTTGCCACTGCCTTGATGAGTAGCTGAAGCAAATTCTGCTGTCTCCCTCCATTTAAAAAATCATCTGGGATGGACTTTAATCCTCTTGTTTGCAGATGAACCTAAAGCTTGGATATGCTTGGTCCTTTGTCTGAGGTCTAGCTGGTAAATGACACAGCCAGATTTCTAGCCTTGATCTATCCAGTTTCAAAGTCTGTTCTCTTTGCCACTAAGTTACAGCTTTTCCTACTTTAAGAGCCCTTAATGCCAGGGAGACGTACAGCAATTTTGAACTAAATGGACCTAAGGGATTTTTCTGATCTAGGATACAAAAAATATTCTTCTTTGTCTGCGGACTGCAGTATAAGGGCATTATCCTCCATTTTGCCTCCAGGGGGCTGGCTGTGAGTTGGTGGGGGTGGGAGATCTTGCTCAAAGGAGGCTCTTTCTGTGCATATTGTTCTTGGGTGCTAAGGGTTCTGGGTTCTGCAGGTGCCTTATGCCATCTGGAACTGAAACACTTTGCTGAGGCCGTGAACTGGTGTGATGAGGGACTGCAGATAGATGCCACAGAGAAGAAGCTTCTGGAAATGAGGGCTAAAGCAGACAAGCTGAAGGTTGGTGACTGTCAGCAGCCGGATTAGTATTTGCTAATTAGCATTAATTAGCATTCCCAAGATTGTGTCTTTCAAGTCATTGTAAACTTTTTAAAATCAAAACCTAAAACTAGTCCCTACTCTTGGAACTCTGTGGAGAACAGAGACAAGTAAACAAATAAACAGTTATCGTGTGATATAGAGGTAAGCAAGGATAGATGGGGTGTATAGCTTAGTACAGTCATATGCCACTTAACAGTATTTCATTCAGTGATGGAACACTGCACCTATTACAGTGGTCCCATAAGATTATAAAGTCCTATTTTAACTGTACTTTTTCTGTGTCTAGATATGTTTAGCTACACAGATACTTACCATCGTGTTATAGTTGCCTACAGTATTCAGAGTAGTTATGTGCTATATAGGTTTGTAGCCTGGGTGCAATAGGCTGTACCATATAATCTAGGTATGTAGCAGGCTATACCATCTCAGTTTGTATAAGTACATTCTGTGATGCTTGTACAACAATGATTGTACATTTTTCAGAATGTATTCCCATCAATCTGCATGGGGATATGTCTTATCCAGGGCAAAATTAGATACCATTACTGTATACAGTCACAAAACAATGTCACATGTTTGGGGCCAGCTAAAGACTCCCAATATATATTATATACTCCCATTCCATAGTATGAACAGTGAAGACAGGTCTAACCCAGGAATTAAGAGACCTTAAGACTAGTTCTGGCTTTCTATTAACAGGTATGTAAGGAAGTATTGCACAGTGGCTAAGAGCTTAGACTCTGGAGCCACTACCTGAATTTGAGGACTCCCTTCATGACAGTTGTGTGACTTGGACAACTTCCTGATCTCCTTGTACTTTAGCTACCTCACTAGTAAAAGGAGAATTAAAATACTACCTTATAGAGCTATTATATAGTTTAGATGGTTTAACATAAGTAATGTTTTTTAAATAGCACCTGGAACATATACAGAGTAAGTGCTATTTAAATGTTGGATATTATTTTGGGTAGTAATGATATTCTGCTATTATTACTGTTTTTATCATCATTTTAGCTATTATATGCTAAAATGCCAGAAATGTCACATGTTAGCAATGACCAGGGGTCATTCTGGTCATATGAAATGGTAGAAAAGGTAGATCTCTATGGACCCAGATGGCTCAATAACAGAATTCTGAGCCCAGGTAATTGGGTGTGGCCAGAATTTCTGAAAGTGGCACATACAGGAATAAATGTCTAGAGGATTACTGGGGACAGTCACAGTTAAAGGGAGATTTCAAGGGCCAGAAGCCTGATATTAAGCCTAGGTGACACTGCTTGCTGAATAGCTGAATTATTCCCCTATGTCTGAGTACAGATTGATTCTGGATTCCTATGTGCTTGGTATATGTAGCCAACAGACTTGTGGCTATATTAATATCAGACAGAATAGACTTCAAGGTAGCAAGTATTACCTGAGATGAAGTGAAGCTTTTTTTCTTTTTTTTCTTGAGATAGAGTCTTGCTCTATTGCCCAGGCTGGAGTGCAGTGGCATGATCATGGCTTACTGCAGCCTTGACCTCCTGGGCTCAACTGATCCTCCTGCCTCAACCTCCTGAGTAACTTGACCTAAAGTCGTGCACCACCATGCCAGACTAATTTTTTATTTTTTCAATTTGTAAATTTGTAGAGACAGGGTTTCACTATGTTGCCCAGACTGGTCTCAAACTCTCAGGCTCAACAGTCCTCCTGCCTTAGTCTTCCAAGTGCTGGGATTACAGGCATGAGCTGCTGTGCCCAGCCATTGAAGCATTTTTTAAATGATATAAGGACCAGCTTATATGAATATTTAACAATTCTAAATATGTAGCACCTAGTCACAGCTTCAAAATGCATGACACAAAACTTGACAACTGAAGAAGGAAGAGATAAATTCACAAATAGGTGGAAAGATCAACTCTCTCAGTAATTAATAAAACCAGTGTTTAAAAAATAGAGATGGGTAATGTCAGTAACAGTGGTGGACTAAAGACCTTCAAAAATTTTCTCTTCCATAAAATCGATGAGGAAACTGGCAAAAATGATCAGAATCAACTTTCCTAGGACTGGAAATGAACCAGAGGTTTGCAGCAGTCTGGGCATGTTTATTCAAGAAAATTGATGGAACTTCAGTAAGAACAGCAAGCTTTGTGGCATTTTATTATTTATTTTTATTATTTTTGAGACAGAGTCTTGCTCTGTTGCCCAAGCTGGAGTGCAGTGGCATGATCTTGGCTCAGTGCAACCTCTGCCTCCTGGGTTCAAGCGATTCTCCTGCCTCAGCCTCCTGAGTAGCTGGGATTACAAGCACGTGCCATCACACCTAGCTAATTTTTATATTTTTAGTAGAGTTGGTATTTCACCATGTTGGCCTGGCTGGTCTTGAACTCCTGACCTCAGGTCATCCACCTGCCTTGGCCCCCAAAATGCCAGGATTACAGGCATGAGCCACCATGTCTGGCCCTTTGTGGCATTTTAACTTGCTTTGTTATCTCCTCCTCCCAGTTCCACGGTAGCCTTGAAAGCCAGCAGCCCACAGTCATGGTGAAAATGAGCAGGCTGCAGCCACCAGAGGAGACAGAACAGGGTTAGAGCCCTTTCAAAGCCTCGTCCCCAGAGAACTGTCATGATTTGACCATCTGGTGGATCCCTGGAAGACCATGCTCACAGGGCTGTTTTTATATGACCTGACTTGGAGCTTACCCAGTATGAAAAGCTCTTTTACATAGGGCCAGAAAGTAGGGGGAATGAAAAGGTGGGAGAGAATTTGTCAAAAACAATTAGAGGCGATTGTTAAAGATTGCAGAACCTGAAGCAGTGGATAGCACTTGGAGCAAACAGTAGGCGCATCATAAAGCTTAAAAAGAAAAACTAGGGAATGAAATTCTGTAGGGGCTTTGAAAAGCTCCAGGGGGATCTAGATGGTCACACATGTGCCCAGGGCTATACTCATGCTCAGGAAAGACCTGAGTAGACCCTAAGCTCTCAGAGTCTCTGGAAGCAGGAAGTGAAGGCTAAGGTAGAATTGTAAACTGCTTGGGTGCATGCTAAAATTGTGCTTCAACATATACACAAAGGCTCTTGACAAAGATTGAAAAACTTATTTGATCTAGATGTTTAGGGAAATCTCTGTCTAGTCATTAGGTAGAGGAAGGCTAGACATAGGACTTACTAGACAAAGACTTTAAACCAGCTAATTTAAATATCTTCTCAGAATGAAAGGAAATTGTGTCTAAAGAACTAAAAAGAAGAATGAGAATGATGTCTTTCCAAATAAAGAATATCAACAAAAAGAAATTACTAAAAAGAACCTAACAGATGTTCTGTAGTTGAAAAGTACATTAACTGAAATGAAAAATTCACTAGAGGGTCTCAACAGCACATTTGAGCAGGCAGTAATAGGAATCATTACACCTAAGATGTATTGGTTGAGATTATCCAGTCTGAAGAACAGAATGAAAAAAGAATAAGGATGAAGAAAGACTTGTACAATGCCATCAAGCATACCACCAAAGGCATAACGAGGGTCCTGGAAGGAGAGGAGAGAGAGAAATGGACAAAAGAATACTTGGGGAAATATTGACCAAAAACGTCCCAAATTTGATGAAAAACAGTGATGGATACATCCAAAAGTTTAACAAACTACAAGCGGGATAAACTTAAAGTGATCTACATTTAAACACATTGTAGTGAAACTGTTGAAAAACAAAGAAGAGAACCTTACAAGCAGCAGGAGAAAAATGATGCTTCATGTACAGAAAATCCTAAAGAAAATTAACAGCTTTTTCATCAGAAACCATGAAGGCTAAAAGGCAGGTAAATGACATATTCAAAGTGTTAAAAGAAAAAGACTCTAAGAATTCTATATCTAGCAAACCTATTCTTCAAAAATGAAAGCGTGGAAGAGAAGTAGTAGTAAAATCATCTATATGCAGGCAACATGACCTTTTATATAGAAAATCCTAAGGGAGCCACTAAAAAACTATTGGAACTAATAAACAAGTTTAGCAAGCTTGTTGGAAACAACATCAATACACAAAAATCATTTGTATTCTATAGATTTTTAATGAACACTCTGAAAATGAAATTAAGTAAACAATTCAATTTTTAATAACACCAAAAAATACTTAGGAATACATTTAACAAAAGTAGCTAAAACTTATACTCTGAAAATACAAAAAACATTGTTGAAAGAAATTAAAGACCTAAGTAAATAGGAAGACATTCCATGTTCATAGATTAGATCTTAATATTGTTAGATGGCAACACTACCAAAATTAGTATATCAATTTAGTGCATTTTTTTTTTTTTTGAGACATGATCTTGCTCTGTTGTCCAGGCTGGAGTGCAGTGGCATGGTCATGGCTCACTGCAGTCTCAAAATCTTGGGCTCAAGCAGCCCTCCTGCCTCAGTCTCTCAAGCAACTGGGACTATAGGCATGTAATGCCACATCTGGCTAATTTCATTGCAATCTGTATCAAAAGTCCAATTGACTTCTCTGCAGAAATGGACAGGCTGACCATAATATTCATATAGAAATTCAAGGGACTCTGAATAACCAACAATCATGAGAGACGAAACAGAATTGGAAAACTCACACTTCCCAATTTCAAAACATATCACAGAGCTACAGTAATCAAGGCATTGTGGTACTAGCATAAGAACAGACATATAACTCAATGTAATAAAATTGAGAGCTCAGAAATAAACCCTCATTTATGGGGAATTTATTTTCAACAAGTGTGCCAAGGCCATTCAATAGGGAGAGAATCTTTTCAACAAGTGATGGTGGCACAACTGGATATTCACATGTGGAAGAATAAAGCTAGAAACTTACTTCGTACTATATAAAAGTTACCCAAAAAAGGATCTAATACCTAAATGTAAGAGCTGAGACTATACAACTCTTAAAACATAGATATAAAGCTTCATGAACTTGGATATGAAACAAACCACAAGCAACAAAAGGAAAAGTAGATCGATTGGACTCCATCAAAAGTAAAACTTTTTGCTTCAAAGGATACCATCAAAAAAGTGAAAAGTTAAGATAAATGTGAAGAAAAAAGTTGAGTTAAGATAAATGTGAAGAAAAAAGTGAAAAGGGGCTGGGTGTAGTGGCTTGCACCTGTAATCCTAGCATTTTAGGAGGCCAAGGCAGGAGGATCACTTGAGGCCAGGAATTCAAGATCAGCCTGGGCAACAAAATGAGACCTTGTCTCTACCTTAAAAAAAAAAAAAAAAAAAAAAAGGGTGAAAAGACAGCCCACAGAATGGGAGAAAATACTTGTAAGTTTTATCTACAATATATAAACAACTCATAATAAGACAAGTAACTCAGTTTTTTAAATGAGCAAAGGATGTGAATAGACTTTTCTTCAGAGACACACAAATGGCCAAAAAGCACATGAAAAGTGTTCAACATCATTAATAATTAGGAAATGAAAATCAAAACCACAGTAAGATACCATTTCATACCCACTAGGGTGGTTATAATTTAAAAAAAAAAAAAAACCTATAAAGACAGGGTCTCTATCACCCAGGCTGTGTTTCATAGCATTCGGTTCACACCACCAGAGTAGTACATAATCTACCTGTTATACTTGGCTCTTCACTTGCCTGTACCCCTCAACCTCTCAGTAGACTATGAGGTCCTTGGGTACAGGAAGTAGATTTAAATTTCTGCCGGCATGTACTTTGTAAATGTTTATTGAACTGAATCTGACCACTGGTATTCCTTAACAGAGGAGCTTGGGTTGAATAGAGACCAGAGATGATAATTTAGGAGCAGGCTGGGGGCAATAGAAGAGGAACTCAGGTCTCTAGAGCTGATGCATCTAAATTTCACTTTTAGAGAACTGAACAGAGGGATGTGAGGAAAGCCAGCTTGAAAGAAAAGAAGGAGAGGAATCAGAATGAGGCTTTACTCCAGGCCATCAAGGTGAGTTCTCAAACCTTATGTTTTTAGGGTCCTGCTAAATTCACTAATCCTGTGAAGCTTGTTGGGAACCTTTCTTGGGATGCTTTACCTGAAGGAATGTGTTCATGTTCTTTCTACTGTGGTAAAGCAGTGTGACAGAGGAGTCTGTCAGGCCACCCCAGTTCAGTCAGCCCTCTCACTTGTGTATACGTGTTGGTCTCAGTGACATGTACAGTTGTCTCCGCTTATCTGAGGCAGATGTGTTCCAAGATCCACAATGGATGCCTGAAATCTCAAATAGTAACAAACCTGATTGCCATCAGTTAGAATACATTTCTGTTTGTGTCTTTCACCCACAAATATAATGCCTTTTCCATCTTAGCTAAAGCACTTGTCACATACTGTGGCCATAATTTTTGCAGTTTGAGGTACAACAGCAAAACTAGCATGAATTTCTTTTTCCTTCTTCATAATTTCACAGATAGAAGATTGCTTTTACCGTAGATTTTAGCAATTTCAGCATACAATTTTTTTTTTAATTGAGGAGTTTCACCTTTTTACTTAAAGGAGATAGTTTATAGCTTCTATTTGGCATATCCAGATTGCCAGCATCAGTACTCTTGTGCTTTGGGGTCCTTAATAAGTAAAATGAGTGTTACTTAATACAGGCACTGTGATACTATGTCAGTGAATCTCATCATTGAGTTGGGTAGTGACTCACTAACAGGTGGGTATCATCAACAGCGTGGATGCACTGGACAAAGGAGCAGAGCCTGTGATTTCATCATATGCTACTCAGAACAGTGCATAATTTAAAACTTAGAGGTTGTTTATTTCTGGAATTTTTGTTTAATTGTTTCAGACCATGGTTGACCACTGGTAAATGAAACTGCAGAAAGCGAAACCGTGGGTAAGGGGACACTATTGTACTGAATACGTACCTGCTTTGGGTTGAGTGTTATTTAACCTTCACAGTGGCCTTCTGAGATAGGTTGTCTTGCTCCTGTTTTGCTGGATTATGAAATAGTTTCAGAGAGGTGAAGAAACCTTACACAGTTAGCATGTGTTAGAGCCAGGCTGTTGCTCTTAACCACTGCATTATATCGCATCTTGAGAAAGCCTGACATTTTAGGATGTTGTTCCTATAATAACAACAGCAATAACAAAATCCTACCCTCCGCTCTCTTTCCTGTGTTTTGAAATATATGTAGTCTGACCCAAATCTTGCTTTAACCTCATTACCTAGGAAGTCACGTGTTTGAGCTTGTTTGGTCTTCACAAACAAGGAGAGAGAATATCTACTGGGAGACTGTGGGAGAGGTCTTTTGTTTCATTATTTGTTCAGTTAAATTATGCACCCATTTATGTTCTGTAAGAATCTTAACACTGCCAAAATATACTCCACTATTCTCTCCCCACAACGATCTGTTTACATATATTATCACATTAAACAGATTAAAATACTCCAGATTTTCCATCTAATTCTCATTCACAGTGAGGGATTTGTTCGTTTTCTTAAATGTAGAATACGGGATGCCCAGACACCCAGACATTTGCATACATACTTTTTTTTTTTTTTTTGATCTCTCCTTTAGTGTAATCCTTCATCTCAAACTTAACATACATAGGAATTACTCTTTTAACAGTGCACAGAGCCATGTATGCTGTATTTTACTAATGGCTTTAGGGAGGAGTCAGCAAACTGCAGCCATTGGAACACAGCCCTGCCTATTTGTTTATGTACTACTTATGGCTGTTTTCACACTACAGTGGCAGAGTTGGGTAGTTAATTTTGACAGAGACCATTGTCCAGAACTCTTAAAATATTTCTTATCTAATGCTTTAAGAAAAAGTTTGCCAACCTGCAATTTAGGGGATATCATCAAATCTAATTTTGATTGCATGTCATTTCCCCTCATGTGCTAACCTTAGGAACCCCTGCACACATACGTAAGAGGTGACCCTATTATTTCAGACTCTTGATTTATGCCCATCTATAAGAGACAGTTAAGAATCAGTCAGTGCACATTCTTTCTAGCATACTCCATGTCCCAGCTAAACTGAAGCATTTGACATTTCTGCACAGGCTTCCTTCTTGATCTTTTCTATGCTTTTGCACATGCTGCTCCTTGGAGTGGAACGTTCTTCCTTCCTTCTAGGTGCCCCTCCCTTCCAACTTCTCTGCTTTTAAAAGTCATTGTTCAAGGCCTAGCATAGCTCAGTCACCTCCAGCCCCCAGGCTGAATTAATTATTCCATGGTCTGCAGTTCCACAGTTCTACTTCTTACTTTATATTGTCATTATTTCTATAGCTGTCTCACCACTTGATATTGAGCAGAGGCTTGAGGGCAGGTAACCATGTCTAGTTCTCTGTTGACAGGGTCCAGCACAAGATAGATGCCCAATGAAAGTGAGTTAAGTAAGTGGTACCTACTATGTACCAGGCCTCAGGAATAATGAAGATGGATTATGTGTAGAGCTGGCCCTCAAGGAGCTCGCATTGTTGTGGTTTGTTTTTTTTAACTTTTGGTGTATTAAAGTTAGTTGTCCATGTTCATTCAGGGTGCAGATGGAGAAAATTAAATTAAAACTAAAGTTAGTCGTGCAGCCTGGACAATATAGTGAAACTCCATTTCTACAAAAAATAAAAATAAATATAAAAAAAAATTAGCCAGGTGTTTTTTATTTATTTTTTTTATTTCAGTAAAATGGGTTTGCATCTTCCCACACAATAAGGTGTGCATTATGTGTGTTTCTGTCTTCAATCCAGGCTAGGAATATCAGGCTCTCTGAAGGTGCCTGTGAGGATGAAGATTCAGCCTCAGAAGGTCTAGGTGAGCTTTTCCTGGATGGACTCAGCTCTGAGAACCCCCATGGAGCCAGGCTGAGTCTAGATGACCAGGGCAGGCTGAGCTGGCCTGTGCTCTTTCTGTACCCAGAGTATGCCCAGTCGGACTTCATCTCTGCTTTTCATGAGGACTCCAGGTACTGACTTGCCCAGGAGCCCTCTGCTTTTGCTTGCATGCTTTCTCTGTTTTTGTGGCAGTAGGATAAGTGGGTTTTTGGTTGAGAAGGGAAGATAATAGTTTATAGGGTTTCACACAATCTGGCTTGATAACAACATCTCTCTCCTATAGCTGACTGAACCTTGACTAAGTAGGTTTGCAATGACAGACAAAAGTCTCATCGTCATGCCGCAGTGTTGCGTTTGCCAAAGAGTGGTACACATCACTGGTGAAATATGAAGTCATTTTAGGCAGTACATGCATAGCAATTTAAGTGAATATTAGAAAAAAATATAGAGGCCGGGTGCTGTGGCTCACATCTGTAATCCCAGCACTTTGGGAGGCCAAGTTGGGTGGATTACTTGAGGCCAGGAGTTTGAGACCAGCCTGGCCAACATGGTGAAACCCTGTCTCTACTAAAAATAAAAAAAACTATCCAGGCATCTGTAATCTCAGCTACTCAAGAGGCTGAGGCATGAGAATTGCTTGAACCTAGGAGGTAGAGGTTGCAGTGAGCTGAAATTGCACCACTGTACTCCAGCCTGGGCGACAGAGCAAGACTCTGTCTCAAATATGTATACATATATATAAAACTAGCCAACTTAATTGGTGATTTCATAGGGTTAACACATAGAATGAGGCTAAGTGTAAGAAAATATTTTTGTAATTTTTTTTTTGAGACCAGGTCTCGCTCTGTCACCCAGGCTGGATTGCATTGGCATGATTATGGCTCATCACAGCCTCCATCTCCCAGGCTCAGGTGATCCTCCTGCCTCAGCCTCTCAAGTAGCTGGAATCACAGGTGAATACCACCACATCTGGGTAATTTTTAAATTCTTTGGTAGACACAGAATCTCTCTATGTTGCCAGCCTTGTCTTGAACTCCGGGGCTCAAATGAGCCTCCCACGTTGGCCCCTGAAAGTGCTGGAATTATATAGGCGTGAGCCAGAAATGTTTTTAAGCCTGAATCGGTTTAAAAAAAATTATGTCGGCCGGGCGCGGTGGCTCAAGCCTGTAATCCCAGCACTTTGGGAGGCAGAGGCGGGTGGATCACGAGGTCAAGAGATCGAGACCATCCTGGTCAACATGGTGAAACCCTGTCTCTACTAAAAATACAAAAAATTAGCTGGGCATGGTGGCGTGTGCCTGTAATCCCAGCTACTCAGGAGGCTGACGCAGGAGAATTGCCTGAACCCAGGAGGCGGAGGTTGCGGTGAGCCGAGATCGCGCCATTGCACTCCAGCCTGGGTAACAAGAGCGAAACTCCGTCTCAAAAAAAAAAAAAAAAAAAAAAAAAAAAAAAATTATGTCCACCGAGCACGGTGGCTCATGCCTGTAATCCCAGCACTTTGGGAAGCCAAGGCAGGCGGATCACTTGAGACCAGGAGTTCAAGACCAAGCTGGCCAATATGGCAAAATCCTGTGTCTACTAAAAATATGAAAAAATTAGCCAGGTGTGGTGATGCATGCCTGTAGTCCCAGTTGCCTGGAGGCTGAGGCACGAGAATTGCTTGAACCTGGGAGGTGGAGGTTACAGTGAGCAGAGATTGTGCCATTGCACTGCAGTCTGTGTGACAGAGTGAGACTTTGTCTCAAGAAAAAAAAAAAAAGAGAGAGAGATATTCTGTCAGTCAGGTGCCGTGGCTCACATCTGTAATCCCAATACTTTGGGAGGCTGAGGCCAGAGGATCATTTGAGCCCAGGAGTTTAAGACCATCCTGGGTAACATAGTGAGACCCCCTGTCTCTACAAAAAAAGAAAAAAAGCCAGGCATGGTGGCATGTGCCTATAGTCCCAGCTATGCAGGAGGCTGAGGTAGAGGAATTGCTTGAGCCCGGGAAGTCAAGGCTACAGTGAGCTGTTGTCACGCCACTGTACTCTAGCCAGGGTGACAGAGCGAGACCCTGTCTCCCCCGCCAAAAAAAGAAAGAAAATTATGTCATAATAGGACAAGTGATACATATACACATTTTGGGTACTGCTGTGAAATGGGTTAAGCATGCGTTTCATGTTTTATACGTTCTAGATATCTCTGAATGAGTGTCTGGGGACTGATGTGGGAAAATAGATCATGAGTTATTGATACCCAGAAAGTACATGTTTTATCCTTAGGTTTATTGATCATCTAATGGTGATGTTTGGTGAAACACCCTCTTGGGACCTAGAGCAAAAATATTGCCCTGATAATTTGGAGGTAAGAGAACTTTTATTTTGTTCCTCTATGGAATTTTTTTTTTTTTTTTTTTTTGCGGCGTGGGAGGTGGGATGGGAAGGCTGGTAGAGTGGGTAGGAATTGACTGCTTTATTTTTTTGAAAATTATAATAAAACATACATGACATAATATTTGCCATTTTAACCCTCTTTAGGTATACAGTTCAGTGGCATTAAGTACATTCACATTGTTGTGCAACTATTACCACCTGCCATCTCCAAAACTTTTTCATAATCCCAAATTGAAACTCTTGAGTGTCTCATATAAGTGGAATCATACAGTTTTTGTGTCTGGCTTATTTCGCTTAGCATAATGTCTTCAAGGCTCATACATATTGTGGCATGTGTCAGAATTTCCTTTTTTTTTTTTTTGTTTGAGACGCAGTCTTGCTCTTATGCCCAGGCTGGAGTGCAGTGGTGTGATCTCGGCTTACTTCAACCTCCGCCTGCCAGGTTCAAGCGATTCTCCTGCATCAGCCTCCCGAGTAGCTGGGATTACAGGCGTCTGCCACCACACCCGGCTAATTTTTGTATTTTTAGTAGAGATGGGATTTCACCCTATTGGCCAGGCTGGTCTAGAACTCCTGACCTCAAGTGATCCACTCCCCTCAGCCTGCCAAAGTGCTGGGATTACAGGTGTAAGCCACCACACCTGGCCAGAATTTTCTTTTTATTTATTTATTTTTAGTTTTTGAGACAGAATCTCGCTCTGTCACCTAGGCTGAAGTGCAAGTGGTGCAATCTCAGATGATTGCAACCTCTGCCTCCCAGGTTCAAGCGATTCTCATGCCCCAGGCTCCTGGGTAGCTGGGATTACAGGCATACACCACCATGCCTGGCTAATTTTTTTTTTTTTTTTTTTTTTGTATTTTTAGTAGAGATAGGGTTTTGCTGTGTTGGCCAGGCTGGTCTCAAACTCCTGGCTTCAAGTGATCCACCTGCCTTGGCCTTCCAAAGTGCTGGGATTACAGGCGTGAGCCACCATGCCCAGCCAAAATTTCTTTCCTTTTTAAGGCTGAATAACATTCCATTGTTGGGATTTCTTAAATAAAAAATCACAATTTCCAGTATAAAGAATTATCTCTTTCTAATCATTTGAGAGTAAGACAGCAACTGATGTCCCATTACCCCTGAATACTGGTGTGTATTTACTATACACAAGGACATTTCTCTTTATAATACCCATATAGCTATCAAAGCAGGAAATTTACATTAATTCACTGCTACCATCTAACCCTCAGACTCCATTTAGGTTTCACAAATTCTTTATAGCAAAAGGATTTTGTTTGGAATCACATACTGTATTTAGTGATCATGTCCCATTAGTCTCCTTCAGTATGGAAGAGTTCCTCAGCTTTTCCTCCATTTTTTTTTTTTTTACTTAAAAAATTTTTTTTATTCATATTTTTGTGATTATGTGATTCAACTGCAGAACACTTCCTTGATCTTAACACCTTTGAAAATTACAGACCACTTATTTTGTGGAATGTATGTCCGTATGGGCTTGTCTGATGTTTCCTTCTGACTAGATTTAGATTATGCATATTTGTTTGTTTGTCTGTTTGTTTTGAGATGGAGTTTTGCTCTTGTTGCCCAGGCTGAAGTGCAGTGCCACAATCTCGGCTCACTGTAGCCTCTACCTCCCAGCTCCAAGTGATTCTTCTGCCTCAACCTCCCGAATAGCTGGGATTACAGGCATCTGCCACCATGCCTGGCTAATTTTTTGTATTTTTAGTTGAGATGGGGTTTTGCCATGTTGGCCAGCCTGGTCTCCAACTCGTGACCTCAAATGATCTGCCCGCCTCGGCCTCCCAAAGTGTTGGGATTACAGGTGTGAGCCATTGCACCCGGCCTGGATTATGCATATTTGGCTGGAATATTACAGAAGTGATGCTGTATTCTCATTGCACTATCACGTGATCTCCATTTGCCCCATTACTGATGATGTTCACTCTGATCACCTGATTGATTTGGGGTCTGCCAGCCTTATCTACTGTACAGTTACTTTCTTATTATGATTAGTAAGTGTTTTATAGGGAGATCCTTTGAAATGGTGTAAATATCCCATTGCTCATCAGACCTTCAACATACTTATTTATATTGGTGGATTTATAGTTTCTTGTTTTATTTAATGAGTTACAATCTGATACTATGAGTGTTTCTTTTATGCGCGAAATATCCCAGATTTGGCCAGGGGGAATCGCTTCTAATTTGTTTCTGTGTCCTTTTGATTTGTGTCTATTTTTTAAGTGGTTGCTTTCTTACACAAGATGTTATAGGTTCAAATGTGCTTTCCTTGCCCCAGCTCTGGGAATCAGCTATTTTCCCCAAGGAGCCCTGTTTCTTTCTAGCGAAGAATGATATTTAGAAGCCAAGATCTCTGTGCAATAAGTGTATTGATTAATACAATGTGGGTAGAGAGGCAGGCTTACTGCCTCAGTGCCTTCTCAGTGCCACAGCTGGGGCCTGTTTCAGTGCCACAGCTGGGATTGTGTGTGTGTGTGTGTGTGTGTGTGTGTGTGTGTGTAAAACTGTGACATCTCATTGGTATCTCCAACTCTAATCCAATACCCACAAGATTTTTTTCTCCCTTTCTATATTTGTGAGGATGACTATTTTTTAATTTTTATTTATTTATTTATTTTGAGACAGGGCCTAGCTGTGTTGCCCAGGCTGGAGTACAGTGGTGAGATCTTAGCTCACTGCAGCCTCAAGCTTTTGGGCTCAAATGATCCTCCCACCTCAGCCTCCCAAGTACCTGGGACCACAGGCATGTACCACCATGCCTAATTTTTGTATTTTTATAGGGATGGGTTTTACCATATAGCCCAGGCTGGTCGTGAACCCTTGGGCTCAAGTGATCCACCCACCTCAGTCTCCCAAAGTATTCAGATTACAGGCATGAGCCACCATGCCCAGCCTGGCTTTATTATTCTTAATATGTTTATTTGTTTGATCAGTTCCCGTCCTATCACTACTGGCCCCTCTCCCATGTAGAGCCTTCCTCACCCTACTTGGACTCTTGACTCCCCATGGTAGGCTGCCACCCCAGCGTGGGTGCCTTCCTCACCCTGCACAGACTCTGATATCCCGCACTGCTTAACCACCCTACACAGACACCCTCCTCATCCTGCTTGTGCTCTGACCCCCCCATAACAGGCCACCCCCTGCCATGAGTGGTCATCCTCCTCACCCTAGTTGGGCCTGTATACTCCATATTACTTCTCCCCGTGCATGGATACCCTTTTCACCCCACATGGGCTCTGAAACCCCATCCTAGGCAGCCATCTTACAAGGCAGTGCTTATTCCCCTGCTCAGGCTGGCCCCCGGTATGGATGCCCTCCTTCACTGGTCCTGCTCTGACACCCTGGGCAGCTTGCTGTGCAGACGTCTTTCTCACCCTGCTTGGGCTCTGACATCCTGTATGGACATCTTTCTTACCTTCCTCAGCCTCTTCCACTGCTCTGAGCCACCATAGCTTTCTCCTTCACATACCTGATGGCTTTAGTTGGAATTGTTAGAAGGGAAGGCTACATAGGCCTGGCCTTGAGTCTTGACTCCTCTGTTTACTAGCTGGGTAATGTTGCCAAGTTGTTCTTCTCTGAGCCTTGGTTCTGTCTTTGGAAAATGGAACTGATAATAGTCTCTCTTACAGTGGCATGAGGAGGACTAAATGGAAAGCACCTGGCTATACAGCTGTATAAAGGAAGCATTCAACTAGTAACCGTTGCCATCTTTTTAATTTTCCCTGGGCTTAGCCTAAACGTGCCTAAGGCTGCCAAAGTACTTTATCTCTGACTCTGGCCCTTCTGTTAATCTTGCAGGTCTACTTTGAGGATGAGGACAGGGCAGAACTGTACTGGGTGCCTGCCAAGAGCACCTTGCTGCAGGTTCTACAGCACCACAGGTGAGTCACCTCATGGCGCCGAGTAGACTGGGGAAGATGCTCAGTGTATTAGTCCATTTTCACACTGCTGATAAAGACATATCTGAGACTGGGCAATTTACAAAGAAGAGAGGTTTAATGGACTCACAGTTCCATGTGGCTAGGGAAGCCGCACAATCATGACAGAAGATAAGGAGGAGCAAGTCGCCTCTTGCGTGGATGGCAGCAGGAAGAGAGAGAGCATGTGCAGGAAAATTCCTCCTTTTTTTTTTTTTGAGATGGAGTTTTGCTCTTGTTGCCCAGGCTGGAGTGCTGTAGTGCAATCTCAGCTCACTGTAGCCTCCACCTCCTGGGTTCAAGTAATTCTCCTGCCTCAGCTTCCTGAGTAGCTAGGATTACAGGCATGTGCCACCACGCCCAGCTAATTTTTGTATTTTTAGTAGAGACAGGATTTCACCATGTTGGCTAGGCTGGTCTCGAACTCCTGACCTCAGATGATCCACCTGCCTCAGCCTCCCAAACTGCTGGGATTACAGGCGTGAGCCACCGCTCCCAGCTGAAAACTCCCATTTTTAAAAGGATCAGATTTCGTGAGACTTAGTCGCTATCATGAGAACAACACAGGAAAGACACACCCCCATGCTCAGTCATCTCCCACTTGGTTCCTCCCGTAACACATGGGAATCATGGGAGCTAGAAGATGAGATTTGGGTGGGGATACAGAGCCAAACCATATCACTCAGGCAATATCCCAGAAATATAGTCAGGTTCTTATTCCATTGCTGGTTGATTACCTCATACTCCCCTCCCTTCTGCCCTGAGCACAACAGCCATGGAGACTGGCCGGGCCCTTTAAACTTAGCCATCGATCAAACACACTCTAGTGTGATGATAGTGCACTGCATCACAGCCATGACACTTCAGACCAGGGAAGATAAACGAGGCTGGTCTGAGAAGGGAAAAGCTGCCTGGCTTTTGTACATGTACATGAAGGCTGCTGTGATGGCCTTCCTTTTTTTTTTTTTTTTTTTTTTCCTTTTGAGACGGAGTCTCGCTCTATCACCCAAGTAGCTGAGATTACAGGCACCCACTACTACGCCGGGCTAATTTTTGTATTTTTAATGGAATCGGGGTTTCACCATGTTGTCCAGGCTGGTCTCAAGCTCCTGACCTCAGGTGATCCACCCCTGTTGGCCTCCCAAAGTGCTGGGATTACAGGCATGAGCCACTGGATTACAGCCAGCCTTCCTTTTCCTAGTTGTACCTATACCTGTGCCTCCTGGTACTGTTTCTTTTGTTGGTTTTTTCTTATTTTTAATTTTTTTTTTTTTAAATAGAGACAGGGTTTTACCATGTTAGCCAGGCTGGTCCTGAACTCCTGGGCTCAAGCAATCCACCTTCCTCAGCCTCCCAAAGTGCTGGGATTAGAGGTTTGAGCCACCACATCCAATTAACGTTTTTTTTATTTTTTGAGACGGAGCCTTGCTCTGTCACCCAGGCTAGAGTGCAGTGGCGTGATCTTGGCTCACTGCAACTTCCACCTCCTGGGTTCAAGCAGTTCTCCTGCTCAGCCTCCTGAGTAGCTGGGATTACAGGCATACACCACCATGCCTGGCTAATTTTTGTATTTTCAGTAGAGAGGGGTTTTTACCATGTTGGCTAAGGTGGTCTCAAATCCTGACTTCAAGCCATCCACCGATCTGAGCTTCCCAAAGTGCTGAAATTACAGGTGTGAGCCACCACACCCAGCCCCTAAATTTTGTTTTTTTAATTATTTTTATGATAGAGACAGGGTATCTTCTCCAGGGTGGTCTTGAACTCCTGGGCTCAAGCAGTCCTCCCGCCTCATCCTCCCAAGTAGCTGGAATATCGAGTGCATACCATCGTCCTGGCTCCTGATGCTATCATCGGAAGAGAACGTTGGCTCTTGAAGTCAGACCCATCGTCATTTACTAGCTGAAGGACTCTAAGGACACACTGCCTCTCCGGGGCTGCCTCCTCATCTCTCGAACGGGAGTAATACTTGGCCCACACATTTCTCAGGTTATTTGAGAGCTAATGAGAGGCTAGGAGGTCAAGTGCTGTTGTGAACTACACAGGGCAGTCCTGCTGTAGGAGGGCATCTTTGTCATTAGCAGTGGCAGCAAGTGGGGTTTGGCATTTGTCTCAGAGCAGCTGTGAGGTGTTCCTGGACTATAAGGGAATGCCCTCAGCAGATCTGCAAATTGACGCTTGGACTACTTTTCCTTAAGCTTTGAGCAAAGCAAAGAAGAGAAAAGCAGATGCTTTTGCACTTAAGCTAAAAGAGCCCAATGTATTAGTGTAAAGAGAGTGGTTGGATGTGGTAGGAAATGAGGCTAGAAAGCTAAGTTAGGGCCATACAGGAAGGCCTGAATGCCCTGCTTAAGAAGTGTAAACATTATCCTGATCATGGTGTACACGAGGGTTGCTTATTAAAAATTTAAAAGATTTTAAAAGATGTACAGAGTAGGCTGGGTATAGTGGTTCACACCCATAATTCCAGCACTTTGGGAGGTTGAGGATGAAGATCACCTGAGCCCAGGAGTTAGAGATCATCCTGAGAAACAGCGAGATCCTGTCTCTACAAAAAAAGTTTTTTTAAAAAATTGGCCAGGTTTGGTGGTGTGTGCCTGTAGTCCTAGGTACTTGGGAGGCTGAGGCAGGAAGATTACTCGAACCCAGCATTTTGAGGCTGCAGTGAGCTATGATCATACCACTGCACTCCAGCCTGGGTGATAGTGAGACCCCGTCTTCCACCCTCCCCCAGAAAAATTACAGAGTAAGAGTAAAGATTTGAAGTGTACTGTTCAATGGTAAGGCCTGAAGTAGGAGGAGGTGGATTAGAAAGGGGTTTAGGAGGCAGATTGGATGGGAGTTGGTGATGTGGTGGGGGTGTCCAGCTAGTCTTAATGCCTTGGCTTTGGCTTGGTAGACAGGAAGGAAAGGTTTTTCGGGATCTGATTGATACCTTTAGTGGTGTTTTTCTCTGGTCCCAAATCTTTCTTCTAGTTTGTGGACAAATTTTCAGCTGCCCATTTTCTCAGTTGTTAGCAAATTACCCAGAATTCTTTAAAGGCCTGAGTTGTGCCCTACTCAGGAGAGTAGGAGAAATCTGAATAGAAAACAGACTGATGCTTGGAGGAAACGCAATTTCATGCTTTTCAGAAAATGTAAATGCTGTTGGAAGTTACTACCTTTAAAACTATTGCCATAGGCAAAAGGCTTTGCAGGACTGGTTTCTGTCAACTTTAGACCCTAAACTGGGTGGAGCCATGAAATAGGTCCTCTGTCCCAAACCCAGTCCACTGAGTAATGCAACACCCCATCCCCGGAGGCCAAAGTCTTGCCTGCGTCTCCAGCCTGCCTCACTCCTTTTTCTTTGTGCCCTAGCCGGCAAACCTTGTGGTTACTTGTACCTCCTGGCTTTGGCTCCTCAACCCTCATCCCCACCCCTTCTCCAAATTAAAGCCGAGTTCAGACGTGGCATCTTCCAGGAAGATTTTTTTGATTTTCCTTCCCTGAAGAGGGAATCGTGCCTCCTTGGGATAGTGCTGTGCCTCACAAATGCTTCTGCAGTTGTACCTTGCTGTCATTAAGTGGTTCCTCATCTCCCTTCCCTCTAGGACTGAATTTAAGAACGAAGATGATGGTGTGTGTCTTTGTTTTTTAATCTCTGTGTTTTCAGCACAGGGCCTGGCTTACCACTCAATGTTTAATGAATGAAACTATATTTCATAGTTTTATTTCGAATTTAGCCACAGACATGCATGATGCCGAAGAACTGGGCTAAAGGTTCTGGCTAGGTTGTAAGGATGAGAATGTCATGCTAATTTGCTAGATTTGTGAACAACCAAATAACTGCGCTAAACTTGCATTTTCATGTTGACTCACATCCAAAGGCTCACCTTGAATATTGTTAGGAAGATGGATGAATGATTAAGATTGTAATTCAGCCGGGCGCGGTGGCTCACGCCTGTAATCCCAGCACTTTGGGAGGCCGAGGCGGGTGGATCACGAGGTCAAGAGATCGAGACCATCCTGGTCAACATGTGAAACCCCGTCTCTACTAAAAATACAAAAAATTAGCTGGGCATGGTGGCGTGTGCCTGTAGTCCCAGCTACTCAGGAGGCTGAGGCAGGAGAATTGCCTGAACCCAGGAGGTAGAGGTCATGGTGAGCCGAGATCTCGCCATTGCACTCCAGCCTGGGTAACAAGAGCGAAACTCCGTCTCAAAAAAAAAAAAAAAAAAAGATTGTAATTCAATTAACGCCCTCTCTTTTAAATGTGTTCACGGCAGGTACTTTGTAAAAGCCCTGACACCAGCATTTTTGGTCTGTGTAAGATCCTCTCCTTTTTGCAAGAATTATCTCCGGGGGAGAAAGGTGCACCAGATAAGATGACTGAGTCAGGCCCCCTGGATCTCCTCCCTCACCCTCCTCTGCTGGGAACCTAGCACATCTGAATCAGCTGGACATACTGCTGGAGTCCAATGCTTTATTTCTGTCACCCTGGGGATAGTCCTTCCTAGCATCATGGTGGGGAGGAGCCTCTGGCTTCCCCGAACTGTAGCCTCTCTGGCTGGTCTTCGCTTTCTTCAGTTGATGTAAAACTCCATCTTGGCCATGACATCCTTGGACTCCATCTCTAAAGGGACCATCTGCTGCAGTTACCACAGCAGCCGACCTGAGTGACACCCTGGTCTGTGGAGATGAATTCAGGATCCAGTGACATGTTTCTGAACTTTTGTGGAGTTCGATACCTTAGAGAGGCTACCCCTCAAACTGCACATCTCCACACAAACTGTGCATAGGATTCCAAGGCTTAAAGCTGAGAGACCCTGGTCTCAAGTTACTTCATGAGCACAGAGGGAAGCCAGGTAGGGTTGCTATAGATACCTTGAGGTGAAATGGGGACAGAAAGCCACACCCTGCTCTGCATTTATAAAGACCATGCAAACTGAGATCCCTGGTACCCCTGAAAAGACTGCCAGTTTTCTTCAACTTTGCCATATGGAGGACTGTGACATACTTGGACAGTGGCCTCTGAGTTCCTCTGCAGTTTTCACATTTTAGGATTTTATGTCTTTTAAACTGGAAAATCTTCTAGTGTGTTGGGCTGTTGTTATAGGGTATAGGAGTTTATCCATCCTGACCTGTAGCTGTAACTTCCTGCAGTGCCCACCCCATCCCCCGGGAGAGTGTACTTCCTTGCTCCTGATGCAGAGGGATGTGAGCGGGCATGAGCTCTCCTGTGTCCGACAGAAGCCTGAAGAGCCGTGTGTGGTTGGCCCATGCTCTTCCCTCTGCCGTGAGAACACGTTTTCCACAGAGAAGCCATTCCATGGAGCTGAGCTACAGCAGCTGGCCTGCAGCCACTGAGTGTCACAGGAATCAGAGAGCAATGTTTGCCATAGTAAGCAATGAGATTTGGGGATTGGTTGTTACTATAGCAGAGCTGACTAATACATTGGTAAACTAAAACCAGCTGCTGTCCTTAAAGTGGACTATTTGAGGCTGGGCACGGTGGCTCATGCCTTTAATCCCAGCACTTTGGGAGGCTGAGGCAGGTGGATCACCTGAGGTCGGGAGTTGGAGACCAGCCTGGCCAACATAGCAAACCTCATCTCTACTAAAAATACAAAAATTAGTCAGATATGGTGGCAGGCATCTGTAATCCCAGCTACTCAGGAGGGTGAGGCAGGAGAATTGCTTGAACCTGGGAGGCAGAGTTTGCAGTGAGCTGAGATCACAACACTGCACTCCAGCCTGGGAGACGAGCAAAACTCCATCTCAAAAAAACCCAAAAAAAACAGTGGACTAATTTTGAGTTTTGCATAGTGTGCCTCACTGTCTTTGAAAGGAAATTGGCTGTGGAATACTTAGAAAGAACCATGCAGCTTCCAGGTGCTGGTCCCTGCCTGTGACTTGTAGTCAGGAAGCTGAAGTTCTTTGTAAGTATTCCACGAGCCTGTAGAAGCTGAAGTTCTTTGTAAGTATTCCATTCCTTCCTAGGCCTCGTTTTGGCCACTTTAGGGCCTGAGGACCAGGAGGCTGATGGACATGAGGTCTTCTGTGCATTCTCTACCATTAGACCTAGGAGAGGCAGAGAAAGTGATTTTAGGGATTGTTAGCACATAAGGATTAAACTTCCTTATATATGAGGAAGTTTAATAATATCTTCTCAGAGGATTGTTTTGAGGATTAAATGGCTGGCACCTGGCACATAGTAGGTACTTAGTAAGCATTGGTTGTTATGGGTACCAGGCACTTTTATAGCAGGAGTCCCTAGTCCCGGGGCATAGACTGGTACCAGTTCATGTCCTGTTAGGAACGAGGCCAGGCCGCACAGCAGTTGAGCGGCGGGTGGAAAAGCATTACCGCCCAAGCTCCACCTCCTGTCAGGTCAGTGGTGGCATGAGATTCTCATAGGAGCGTGAACCCTGCTGTGAACTGCGCGCGTGAGGGATCTAGGTTGTGTGCTCCTTATGAGAATCTAAAGCCTGGTGATCTCAGGTGGAACAGTTTCATCCCAAAACCATTCTCCTCCCCGCCCTGTGGAAAAATGGTCTTCTACCAAACTGATCCCTGGTGCCAAAAAGGTTGGGGACTGCTGCTGTATAGGACAACTCTTTTTAGGATGATTCTCCCCTGACTTGATCCCAGATGAGGAACTGCCATGGCTCTAAGGCCTCATGAAGGGTGGGCCTCTCCACAAGTGGACTCAGCCGTTAGGAGTCATCTCCTGAAATCCTGGATTCCAGAGGCATAGCCAGACTGAAAAGGGACCTGTGTCTTTATTTAAAAAATTAAAATATATATTTTGTAGAGATGGAGTCTCCCACTGTTTCAAAGGCTGGTCTCAAACTCCTGGTCTCAAGTGATCTTCCCACCTCAGCCTCCCAAGGCATTGGGATTACAGGCATAAGCCACCGACCTGTCCTTGTGTGTTTTCGAATGCCCTGGATAGAAGGCAGGAGCCCTAGGACCTGCTGACAGGGCCAGTCCCCAGGGACTGCCTAATCCTAGCAAGTCCCCGCCCTCCCTGGGCCTTGGCTTTTCTATCTAAACAATGGGAACAATATGCTAGAAAGTGCTGCATCCTGTAAGGCTTATTATTCCTTTTATTTTTATTTATGAGATGGAGCCTTGCTCTGTTGCCTAGGCTGGAGTGCAATGGCACAATCTTGTCTCACTGTAACCTCTGCCTCCCGGGTTCAGGCGATTCTCCTGTCTCATCCTCCTGAGTAGCTGGGATTACAGGCGTGCGCCACCATGCTCAGCTAATTTTTGTATTTTTAGTAGAGACAGGGTTTTACCATGTTGGCCAGGCTGGTCTCGAACTCCTGACCTCGTGATATGCCTGGCTCAGCCTTCCAAAGTGCTGGGGTTACAGGTGTGAGCCACCATACCCGGCCTTATTATTTTTTTTAAACAGATGTAGCATAAATCCTCACCAGAAAGGTAGTGTTCTAGCCTACAGACAGCATGAGTTGTAGTTTTTTTTTCCTTTCTTCTTATTCCTTTTTTTTTTTGAAATGGAGTTTTGCTCTTGTTACGCAGGCTGGAGTGCAATGGCGCGATCTCGGATCACTGCAATTCCGCCTCCCAGGTTCAAGTGATTCTCCTGTCTCAGCTTCCTGAGTAGCTGGGATTACAGGCCTGTGCCACCAAGCCTGGCTAATTTTGTATTTTTAGTAGAGATGGGGATTCTCCAGGTTGGTCAGGCTGGTCTCGAACTCCCGACCTCAGGTGACCCGCCCACCTCAGCCTCCCAAAATGCTGGGATTACAGGAGTGAGCCACCACACCCAGCCTGTATGAGAGATTCTAAGCCTGATTTATACTTGGAATCATTCTTGATACCCAGCAGATACTAGTTTGAACTCTGACTCTGCTGCATAAAGGTTCTGTGCATGTCAGTTAATCACCCTGAGCCTCAACGTGATCATCTGTAAATCTGGGCAAAAATCCTGCCGAATATGGGGGGTTAGGGAGTGCTGCAGTGCTCCAGGAGTTGCAGCATATTCAGTGCCTTTGCTTAATGCCTGGCATGTGATAAGTAGTGCTCAGCAACCCTAAGTACCCAGCCAAAATCATGGGCTGCACAAGTCCTTTCCCTGAGACATGCCTGAAAGAAATATCACCCAGATCTGCAAGCTCCAGAAGGTGGCAAAGAAAACCAGCTGCAGGGTCCTGAGGTCTGCAGGCTCTCTGTCCGTGGGCATGGCGCCTGCCACCGGCAATCTCTCCATAGGTACTCCTGCTGCTTTAAAGGCCCGGAGCAAGGCCTAGAGCTGAATCCTCAGCCAGTGGAGTGAGGGGCTGCCTCTGCCGCCTAACAGCAGTTCACCCACTTACCCTGACTGTGCCCAAACCCTGGCCTCTCCAGGGGTTTTCCCTAACTGCTCACATCAACCTGATTACAGTTCCTCTAACACACCAGATGCTTCATATGTCCATGTCTTTGCTCCAGTTCCCTTTACTTGAAATGTCCTTCCCCTGCCTGGCCTACCTGCCAAAAACCCACCTATCTTCGGAGGTGTTTTCTTCACTAGGATGTTTCCACTGCCTGCTGGCAGAGCTGGCTTCCCCTGATGTGCATGCTGATACCCCCATACTCACCCTCCATCTGTCCTGTCCCTGTAATACTGCATGGCACCTGGATGTCCAGGTGTCTGCCTCCCCTTCCAGCAGGTAAGCTCCATGTGTATGAGTGAGCTGAGTGGATGGATGGATGAACCAAAGAAAGAACAAATGAATGAAAGAATAAAATAAGCCAGTGCCCTGTTCCCAGGCCCCCACTTGCACACACAGGTTCAGCAACAGCATTCCCAGGCTCTGCCTTTTTTGGCCTCTGCTTTGCATCTATTCTGGTTGCAAAGTGTGGCTGCACCTGGCATTCTGGGTTCCTGCCCACAGAAAGTGCAGGGCTTCCCTCTGCCCTGTGCCTGCGGAGGGTAGGACTAGAACTGGGCCAGGGTGGGAGTCCCAGCTGTGGCTGGCTCACGTGCAGCTCAGGAAGGTCCGTTGCTTATGGCAGCCAGCCATGGAGCCTAGGCCCTACTGCAGCGCTGCATCTCCAGGAGCCAGGCTGAGCCAGGTGAAGGGCCCTGAGCACTTCCTGCTGGTGGGACAAGGAGTGAGGCCAATGCTCTCTGCAGGGGATATGGGCCTCCCCTGCCACCGTGCCCATGCCTGGGACTCCAGCAGAGCCAACCTCCCCTGCCTCATCTATGAGGTCCAGGCCAAGGCACCTGCACGCACATCTACACACCTGAGCACAGGGCAGAGCCTCTTGCACCCGCCATCCCTGAAGCGGAGTGCTGCCCTTCCTTCTTAGGGCCAGGGATCAGTGATGGAGGTGGGACCACCTGACTTCTGTCTAGTTACCTCTATGGATTTGGGGTGGCAGCTGAAGAAGGGGCTCCGGGGACAAAGCCCCCTGAAATACACTGCAGGCAAACAAAGAAAGGCACTGTTCACACTGAATTCTGCACCGAGCTAACCGCTGTACCTGGATTTTCTTAATCCCAACGGCCACCCTCTTGGGTCTGTTATCCAATTTTATAAATAAGGACATGGAGGCACACAGTCACCCCACTAGTGAGTGCCAAGCCAAGAACTGAACTCAAGCACCTCACTCCAGAGCCCTCCTTCCTCCTTTGTGTTCCCTATTCTATTTGCTTTACAAACATTTATGCGGCACCTGCCGCGAGCAGAGCATTGAGGCTGAAGTGCATCAGGCAGCCTCTGCCTTCAAGGTTATGCTGTTAAATGGATGCAATAAATCTAATGGCCTGGGAATTGCTCCAATGAAGATAAATACAGCCGCAACAGGCAAGTCTGTCATCAGCCCTGCTCTGAGCCCCCAGTGACTCTCCTTCATCAGCACTCTTGGTGTGGTATTCAAGGCCATTCAGGATCTGGGCCCCCACCACCTCTACAGCTCCCACTCTGACCTTCTCAGCCCAGCCATCCTGAATGGTTTGGCTATGGGGCAGGAGGATGCAGGGGCTGAGTATTGATTGGCTGTGGAGTCAGGCACCTGCATCCCAATCCCAGCCCCACAGTGTACTAGAGGCCTTGGGCACTTTGCATAGGCTGTCTGTGCCTCAGTTTCCTCATCTGTAACATGAGCAGGATAACAACACACCTCATGCAGGTCCAATGTGGATTAAATGCATTAATCTACATGAAGCATGTGGGACACAGCTTGCCTCAAAGTACATGTTCAATCTATGACTTTGTTATTTTCTGTTCCCTAACTTCACCATGCTCTCTGGGCTTTGGGCCTTTGTGAATCCTGTTCTCTCTGCCTGGACCATTCTTCTTTCCACTTGTTGCCCTTCTATACCCAACTGCTCCTCCCTTCACTATTTAACACGTAGCCTTCAATCAGGCCCAAATGCCTCCTCAGGAAGCCCTCCCTGTCTCCTTATCCCACGTGTCCCCATGGCACCTACACCACACTGCATTGTAATTGTTTACTTGATAGTTCTTGCTCTCTGTAAACTGAGTCAAGGACCCTGAGCTGTGTACTTCTGTAGTGCCAGGGCCTAGTACTGCACCTGCTCAGCACATAGTAGATGCACAACAAATTATTAATGACTGATGATATAGATCAAGGAGTGATTAATTCTGAACAGATCAAGGATGGAAGCTACTACATATGATGGACTTGGGTCATGAAGTTGAAGAAGGAATCGGGGGGTGCGGTGCGGTAAGGTGGGAGGGCCTTCTGGCATATTCCAGGGGTAGTGCCTGTGCTGGCCTGGCTCAGTGATGGTAGCTGCCACCTCTTGAGCACTTACAATATGCCAGGCAACATTCTTGGTGCTTTATTTGGATTGGTTCACTTAATCCTCCCAACACCTCTAGAAGGCAGGTAGCTTCATAGCCCCATTTTACTGACGGGAAAAGTGGTGCGCAGAGGTTAAGTAACTTGCTCAAAGTCAGCTGGCTAATGAAAAGTAGAACCAGAGCTTGAATTCAGGACTCTGCTAAACCCCTCGGGAGATATCGGTATTAACGAGACCAGCCCCCTGCCTTCAAGGAGTTTGCAACAGACCCAGCTGCCCTTGCCTTCTCAGTCCAAGCTTATAGTAAAGTCTTGGCACTCACTGTGTCATGCAGTGTCCCCAACCTGTCTGCCTGGGTAGAAGAATCCACTGTCTGCGGAAACCCCCACCAGAGCCCACACTTGAATCCCCATAGCACTCAATACTCTGCCAATGGGGCTCCCGTCAGCCTATGAGCTTTTCTTGGCAAGCCTTGGCAGCAAGTGCTGCCCTGGAAAAAGGGCATCCTGAGATACCATGAACTGGTGCCACCTTTTCATTCTCCTGGCCCTACACAGTTTTAATTAGCTAAGAGCAATTAAGCTTTAACCATAGGGGCTCATTAGCAGCCTTGGGCACTGCTGGCTTGACAGGAACCCCTGCACCAAGATGGTGCTTAAAGTTGCCACCCCATTCTACTGGCCATAGTGCACCACCCAGCTACCTTCTGTGCAAAGTATCACTCAATATATAGGCAGCTCCACTTACCAAGCATCTGCTGTGGGCCAGGCCCTGTTATTCCCATTTTACAGATAACTGAAGTGGAGGGACTATGAGGAAGTGCCTTGCACAAGTGTCACAGAGATAGTAAGTGGCACAGACAGTCTGACTCCAGAGTCGGTAGTTGGAGTCACTATAAGTAATTTTATTTTTATTTTTGAGACAGGGTCTCTCTCTGTTGCCTAGGTTGGAATGCAGTGGCATGATCTTGGCTCACTGCAACCTCGTTTCCTGGGCTCAAGCCATCCTCCTACCTCAGCCTCCCAAATAGCTGGCACCACAGGTGTCTGCCACCATGCCCAGCTAATTTTTATATTTTTTGTAGAGATGAAGTTTTGCCATGTTGCCCAGGCTGGTCTCAAACTCTAGGATTACAGGTGTGCGCCCAGCCTCATTATTTTAAGTTATGCAAAATACCTTGACTTTTTTCAAATGTTACTTAAGTTTGCAATAACATCATAAAAAAATTTTCCCATTTTCCACATTATAAGAAAACTTAAAAATCATTTTCCTAACTCTAAAACAAAGCCTCACATGCCCTTGGATGCGTAACAATCCATTCTAATAGGCACTCATGCATCCCGGTGTGGAAACGGATTGTGGGAACTCTGGAGACCTGGCACTCAAGTAGTTAAGGAAACGATAATTTCGACAGATTTCTGCAAAACTCCTTTATGGATAGCCCAGCAGGTGTTTCTTCCATTAAAACACAGAATATTAATGGAGCCCTTGATTTACATTCTAAGCCTGATTTACACAATGGTTTTGTTATGCACCAGCCTTTGTCCCCAAGTATTAATTCTGCTAAATATTTCCCAGGCAGTCGCTGCTAGATCTCCCCAAGGAATGAGCAATGATAATACAGCCTGTACCTGCTATTCTGCCAGCATCCCATTTCATCAATTTATGGCAAGAGGTAAAATTGGCAAGTTCAGAAATGAGACAGTAAGGTACACAGTTTGAGTATTTCTGTCTTTCCTCTGAGATACAGCTATTTTGCAGGTGCCTCCTAATTCTTGCCTGTGGCATTTCCCAGGAAAGTTGTCAAGCATCTTATCAAGAAAACAAGATCCAGGTCTTGAGATAACAAAGTTAACAACAGAACCTGAGCTCCCAGTGGGGTAATTTCCTAAATCGTCTGGTGTAAGGGAAGTAAATGTCTCTGAGTGCAGACTAAGGGGTAATGAAGCATTTCATATACGTGAGCTTGGTCAAGCCCCAACCTCCCCCCGCCACCGCCGCCACCCTGCTACAAGGTGGGTACCGTTTGCACGAGTGTCACCGATAGAGAATCTGAGACGCACATAGGGCAAGTAATCTGTCTGAGGTCACATCCCCAGTAAGCCATCTAGGATTATGTCTCTTCACGGCTCTGATCTTTTCGCCAAATCACGCTGCCCCTGGCTACTAGAAAAAACGCTGGCTTCGTGATCAGGACACTTAGGTTTCATTCAGCCTTGGGCAAATCGGTGTCCTCCCTGTATTTCTCTCCCTATTGTAAACTAAAGAGCATGGGCATCTGTTTCACAAACTTACACAGCTTTGGCAGCTCAGAGGCTGATCCAGCCAGTCTTCTCTTCACTCAGCAGGACTGACCAGAGAGGGCTGGTGCCTGGCCTGTCCTCAGGCATTCTGCAAGTCGGATGACGTGTGGCGGGTTCATTCCTGCTCCAGGCCCACTTCCCAGCCCAGAGCCAAGGCCAGCTTCAAGTTTTCCTAAATTCTAAAGCTCCGGGATTCTAGATCATCCTCAAGTCAGTCTAGACCTTGCACATTAATCAAAAGTCAAATGAACTGGTTCTCTATTTCTGGAATCTGGTTTTTAAAAGTGCTTACATTAGGCTAACCTCCCATAAACAAGCAAGCTTATGGAGCATAAATTTAAAGTTAAAAAATTATTCAGCCAAAAAATAAAAATAAAAATAATTTAGCCAGTCAAAGTGGCACAGTACCTGGGAGGCTGAATTGGGAGGACTGCGTAGCCCAGGAGTTAAATCCAGCCTGAACAACATAGCAAGAACCCACCTCTCTCTTTTTTTAAATGTTTATGGAAAATCTTTTTTTTTCTGAGACAGGGTCTGGCTCTATCACCCAGGCAGGAGTGTAGTGGCGCCATCTCAGCACACTGCAACTTCTACCCCATGGGCTCAAGCAATCCCCCCACCTCAGGCTCTCCCAAGTAGCTGGGACTGCAGGCGTGTGCCACCATGCCCGGATGTTGGCCAGGTTGGTCCTGAACTCTTGGGCTCAAGTGATCCTTTGGCCTCAGCCTCCCAAAGTGCTGGGATAGCAGGCTTGAGCCACCGTGCCCAGGCAAACACCTGTTTCTTAAAAATATATATACGTAAAGCACCCATTTACATGAATCTTGCTTTCTCACATACTTTAGGCTAACTTGGTTAGAAAGATATACATAATTTAGTTTTACAGAGGCTAAGCAGTGTAGTGAGAAGGGCAATCTAGCTAGTGCCTGCCATCTAGCTGTGATCATAATAGCTGTGCATCCTTGGGTAAGTTGCTGAAATAGATCCTCATGCTTCCTCATCTGTAAAATCAGATAACAGCATCTATCTTGCACAATTGTAAAGTCTGAAAGTGCCTAACAGTGGCCAGGTGCAGTGGCTTACACCTGTAATCCCAGCACTTTGGGAGGCTGAGGCAGGAGGATCACTTGAAGCCAGGAGTTGGAGACCAGCCTGGGCAACAAAGTGAGCGAGACCCTGTCTCTTAAAAAAAAAAAAAAAAAAAAAATTAGCCACTGTGGTGGTGCACATCTATAGTCCCGAGCTACTCAGGAGGCTGAGGCAGGATTGCTTGAGGCCAGGAGTTTGAAACCTGCTGCCTCAGCAACATAGGGAGACCCCATCTCTGAAAAATAAAAATAAATAAAAAATTAAAAAGTGCCTCACACTGGTGGCATATGGCAGATCCTCAACAAATAAATGGCCAGCCCATTAAAAGCAGAGTGAGCCTATCAGTCTGATAATGAACAACTGAAATTACTAAAAGAAATGCCCAGCTACAAAGTGGGTCCAGAGGAGGCAGCTTTTATACCAGGAGCTCTCAATTGACTTTGACTGCACATTACAATCAGCTGGGAAGCTTTAAACTTCCCAATGCCCAGGCTACGTATACCCTACATGTAACCAGACCGTCTGGGTGGGATCCAGATGATTCCAATGTGCATGGTTAAGATCCTCTGCTTTGTAATCGAGCCTTACTAGGTTTGCTCTCAGAATGCACGTCTCCTAGCCTGAAAATCGGAAGTATTTCAAAGGAACCCTGGACCTGGAGCCCCAATTGGCAGGGCTGGGAGCTGGTAGAGCTTGGCATACACATTCATTAGAAAACCTGATGCTGGCCGGGTGTAGTGGTTCATGCCTGTAATCCCAGCACTATGAGAGGCAGATCACCTGAAGTCAGGAGTTCAAGACCAGCCTGACCAACATGGAGAAACCTCATGTCTAATAAAAATACAAAATTAACCGAATGTGGTGACACATGCCTGTAATCCCAGCTACTTGGGAGACTGAGGCAGGAAAATCACATGAACCCCAGAGGTGGAGGTTGCGGTGAGCCTAGATCACCCCATTGCACTCCAGCCTGGGCAACAGGAGGGAAACTCCGTCCCAAAACTAAAAAAAGAAAACCTGGTGCTGTGTGCTTGGGAACCGGGTTCCTCTACCAGTATCAGGCTGCCCAGAGGTTGTTTAGCAGGTGGAACCACTGGCCAAAACATGAACTGCAGTGCACTAGGAATTAGCTCAGGGCCCTGGCCTCAGGGAGCTCACCGTCAACAAGAGACAGGACCACTGTACAATGAGCTGTGTACGCACAAAACAAGAAGGGATGTGATCGGTGCTGTGGGAGGCAGGAGAACCACTATTCAGAGCTGCTAGGCAGTTTTTTAGGAGGTGCTGGCTGAGCTTGGTCTTGATAGATTCTTGTCAGATACAGACATGTAGAGACCCTAAGGGGCCACGGATGGAGAACTTGGTTATGTTCCTAATCTAGGATGCAGGAGCAATGAAAGTCATTGGCATTGCTGAGGTAGTTCTAGCCTGCTCTGTTTGCCATGGAATTCAGGCAGAGGGGAGTTTTTTTTTTTTTTTTTTTTTTTTTTTAAAGCACAGCTTCTACATGAAGGACACAGAGACCAGCTCTTAATATTCACCCCATCATGGCTCTAGGATCCAACTCTGCACCTAGGATAAGGTCACCATGGCAGCTGAAGCCTGTGCCCCATACTTGTGGGAAGAGATGGTTTAAACCACATTTTCCCAACCACCCGGTTTTTTATGTGGGGGGTGGGGGTGTGTGGGAACAGTCAAAAAAGAAAAGAGTAGGAAGCTGTTGCACCGTTGAAATGGCAGATGTTATCCTTGTTTCAAATTAATGTGCAAGGCTCCTTCCAATAGTTTGACTTTATTCAATCAGCAGAACATGATCTCAGTGCTTAAGCCATCTTAATGGGGCCAGGTCTCTTGAGGTAGCTTTTGGGCCATCAGTTCCTCTGACTGGAGGATCAGAGGAACCAGATCCGTCTGTCACAAACCTCTCATGGAACCCCCCAGTGACCTGTATAAGGATGTTACAGATCTAGTTCCATTTTCTCAAGTTACAGATGGGGAAACTGAGGCCCCAGCAGGGGTGGGGGATGTATCTAAGTCACCAGTGGGTTGGTGGCAGTCAGATCTCGATTCTTCTCCCCACACTCTCAGCCCAACTTCTCGGTGGAGGCGGGCTGGCAGGCCTGCCCTCTGGACAGAATGTAGCAAAAGGCCCGTGGTCAAACTGACGGCTGGTGGGGAAGGTTGTGGGACCCTCAGCCATCAGCCAGTCTCATCCTACATGTGATTTATGAGAGGCCCAAGACTGGAACTTGGGTCTCTTGCCTCTCAGCCTCCTAGAAGCTTCCACAATGGAATACAAAAGGAAAGGTATAGGGCAGCATGGCCAGTCTGAAGAAAGGGATCAAGTTAATGACTTAAAGTACAAATAAGCTGAAAAAATGACTAGATAAAAATTGGCATCCCTAACATGATCTCACCCTCCATGAGCTGTGCTGTTCCCGGAGAGAGCAGTCCAGGAAAGGGGTAGGAAAATGCAGTGTTAGAATGAGCACCAAGGCTGCAAGGTGGGGGCAGGGGTGGGCTGGGGACATTTAGATGGTCTGCACTTGGGTCAGTAAATCCATGACTCCATCTTTGGTGAGGAAGACCACCTCACCAGTGTTCTGACACCAAACCTCAAAATGTGCAGGGTCCTCCAGGGCCCTCTTGCCAGTGATTATCACAAAGGGGTAGCCAAACTTATTGGCATCTTTCAGTCTGTTTCCGATGGTCAGATGGGTCCTGTCGTCCAGGAGCACCTCCCCGTGAAGCTGAGGCACTGCCTCTGTGATGTGGTCGTACAGCTGCCCTGCGAGCTCGGAGGCCGCCTCCTCCTTACTGCCCTTCTTCGGGGGGATGAGGCAGGCTTGGTAAGGGGCCAGTAGGCTGGGCCAGCGGACACAGTCTTCTGTTGAGAGGACTTCAACGGCAGCAGCCAAGATCCGGGTCACGCCCAAGCCGTAGCACCCCATTTCAGTCAGGGATGGTTTGCCGTAGACATTGGTAAACTGGGCATTGAAAATGGATGAGTACTTGGTACCCAGGTAGAATGTGTGCCCCACCTCAATGCCTTTGGTTTCGGTCAGTGGGCCCTGGCAAGCAGGGCAGTTCATTTGTGACACGCCTAGCGTCTCCACGTTGGCTGAGAAGCTGCAGCTAGGACAGATGGCAAGCCGGTCCTCTCCAATATCCATTGGGAGCTGGAACTCATGAGACATTGTGCCCCCGATGCTGCCCACATCGGCCTGGACCTTGACAAATCGCAGCCCTAACCTGTCGAACAGGCTGCAATAGGCATCACACACCAGGCTGTAGGTCTGCTGGGCAGCCTCTGGGGAGGAGTCAAAAGTGTACATATCCTTCATGTAAAACTCTCGGCAGCGGAGAAGACCAAAGCGGGGCCTGGGCTCATCTCGAAACTTCCTTGTCACTTGGTACAGCAGGAAGGGAAGCTGCTTGTAGGACAGTTTCTTTTGGGAGGCAATTAAGGCTGTAATGGCTTCCTCGTGAGTTGGTCCTAAGCAGTACTCCTTGCCATGTCTGTCTCTAAGTCTCAACAGCTCCTTGCCCATCAAGTCCCACCGGTTAGTGGCTTGCCAGAGCTCTGCCGGGCTGAGGCTGGGCATGTTGACTTTCTGGCCCCCGATGGCCTGCATCTCCTGGTCTATCACTCGCACGAGCTTCTCCATGGCACGAACAGTGTACGGCAGGAGGTGGTAACAGCCGGGGCTTGCCGGGTAGATGAGGCCCACCTGCAGCATCAGCCGCTGGCTCTTACAGGTCAGGTCCCCAGATCTGCCCTCCAGGGAGAGCACCTGGTCTTCCCGAAGGTTCTGTGGCTGGAACACACGAGACAGCAGCAGACGCCGCCTTCCTCCTGGGACACAGTGGTGAAACCTACGAGGAACAAACCCAGAGAGCTGGTGGCCGCAGGTGGCCAGGGCGGGCAATGCTCTGCATCTTGTCAGCAGCCCTTCCATGACACCCTGGCACGAGGAAGCACCTGGAGAAAAATGAGTGTGAGAATGAGCATCACCTGTGTTCCAACACCATGAAGCAGCCGACCCAGTCTGCTCTCAACAAACTTTTAAGACAGCCACTGATTTGCAGATACAAATCCTTCCATTTCTAATATCCTAGCAGATCAAAGCACTATTTCTCTAACCTCTTACTTCTGTTTTTGAAAAATCAATATTTTCCTGATTATAAAAACATTAACAACATCCTGTGGCGAGACAGCAGCGTGTAGTGACTGCACAGGTTCTGGAATGAGGCAGCCTGGATTCCAGTCGGGCTTCCCACTGGCTGCACCCTACGTAGCTGGGGACACGTGTCTTAACCCCTCTGTGCTGTTTCTTCATTTGTAAAATGGTAATAACAACAGGACTTACCTTGTAGGCTTCTTGTGTACAGTTAGAAGAGTTATAAAAAGTTCTTGGAACAGTATCTGGCATGTACTATGAGCTCAATTAATGTCTGCTGTTATTATTATAGAAAATGAGGGAGGAAATCTGAAAACAAAAAAGAAAAGAAGGCCAAGCATGGTGGCTCACACCTGTAATTCCAGCACTTTGGGAGGCCAAGGCAGGCAGATCACCTGAGGTCAGAAGTTCGAGACCAGCCTGGCCAACATGGCAAAACACCATCTCTACCAAAATTACAAAAATTAGCTGGGCATGGTGGCACATGCCTGTAATTCCAGCTACTTGGGAGGCTGAGGCAGGAGAATCACTTGAACCTGGAAGGTGGAGGATGCAGTGGGCTGAGGCTGCACCTCTGTACTCCAGCCTGGGCAACACAGTGAGACTCTGTCTCAAAGGAAAAAAAAAGAAAAGAAAATCAACTGTAATCCCTTGGCCTGGAGTTGATTGCAGCTGATGTTTTGTTATGATGTCTTTTGCGAGCCCTGTCCTTTACACATCTCTCTCTTGTCCCTCTCCCTCCCCCCAACATTGAAATGTCATAGGTCTCTTCCCTCTTCACAGCACACACTCCCTGGACAGCCTGCAGGCTGAGGGCTGACTCAAAATCTCCACCTGCCTCCCAGAGAATACACCATGCAGGTACTTCAAACTCCACGTCCCAGAATGAACTCAGCATCCTACCCCAAACCCACTCCCCCTTCGGCACTGCCTATCATTGTGAATGGCAGCAAAAGTGGCACTTTGTCCAAAGCAGAAGGTGGGGTTCACCTGCCCTGCCCCTCTCTGTGCCCCACATTCACAGCCCTCTTGGCCCTCTCATTCCTACCTCTTCACTTGCTGTCCAATCTGTCCCTCTTCCCTCCACAGCCTCCGCCCAGGTCCAGGCCACCCTTGTCTCTCACCTGGAGGGTTGCAACAGCCTCCCCAGTGGTTGCTGCCTTCCATTCCTGCCCTCCTTCAATCCATTCTCCATGCTGCAGCCACAGGGGAGACTTCCTAAGCACAGATGGTAACAGCTTTTCTTGCTTAAAATGGCCTCCTACTACCCTTAGAATAAGGCTGAAGCCCACATGAGCCTCATCTCAACACTACCCCCTCCCTGATCTGGCTTTGCCATGCCCACTTTTTTTTTTTTTTTGAGATGGAGTTTCGCTGTTACCCAGGCTGGGTGCAGTGGCACAATCTTGGCTCACTGCAACCTCTGCCTCCTAGGTTCATGCAATTCTCCTGCTTCAGCCTCTCAAATAGCTGGGACTACAGGTGCGTGCCACCACACCTAGATAATTTTTGTATTTTTAGTAGACACAAGGTTTCACCATATTGGTCAGGCTAGTCTTGAACTCCTGACCTCGTGATCCGCCTGCCTTGGCCTCCCAAAGTGCTGGGATTACAAGTGTGAGCCACTGAGCCCGGCCATGCCACACCCACTCTTAAACACACTGTCCCTTTTGCACAGAACATCCCTTTCCCCTTTTCGTGCCAACATCTTCCCATCCTCCAGGCCTCAGGATTACCATCCTCTCCTCAGGAAGCCCTTCTTGTCCCACTCCCCATACCCCCAAAGGGCTGGCTTTTCCCGCACGACCCACTTTTCTCCTAGAGTTCCTGCCCATTTGGCTGCCTATCTTGCCCCAGACACTTGGTTCAGTGCAAGCAAGGACCTGTCTAGCTTGCTCACCACTGTATCTTCAGCACATGACAGGGGCTTACCAGACATTGTCCGATAGGCAAGTATGTTCCTCTGATTTTACAAAATATTCACACATTTCTAATGGCAGTACAACATTCCAAGGATTGATTACATAAAAAATCAGTAGTTGGTTTTCTGTTATACATAATCTATAAGGAAGAGAAGCCTTTTTTTGGTTATATATTTGAGAGAGATGTTGGAATGAAATTACTGAATCAAAGGCTATAAACTCTTTTGAGATTTTTGATTCATATCACCAAATTTCGTGAGTACTGCTACTTTTCAGCACAGTCCATGCAGCAAAGCTCCCGGCAGTATACCGGGAATGGGTTACTGATACCCCTCAGCTCTAGGGAGCTAAGATCTCCCAGCTGGTTACCTCTAGCAGCCTCAGGTCCTCCAGCTGGTCCCCTCCAGCCTCAAGCAGCTTCATCCATTTCCCCTGTGCACCGTACAAATGTTTAAAGGTCTGTACTGCCACAGAGTCCTAGTGCGTGGCTTTGTGGGGATGTACAGGGCATGCAGGCAAAGCACATGAGGATTCACCCCTGGCTCCACACTTCCTTGTGATCCAAGCTTACTGAGGTCAGTGGCTCCAGCCAGAAACTCATCCTTGATGCCTCTTAAAGCAAATGAGTCTGTCTCCAAGATTTCTCTTAGTCCACCCCTCCATTCTGGCCCTTACTGCCTCAACATTGGGTTAGCCCCTCAATACCACCTGCTACATGACAGTCACCAGTGGTTCTGAAATTTAATTGAGCATCAGAATCACTAATCAGAAAAGCTGAGCAGAAAGCATTTACAACGTTACCTGATACATATTAAGTGCCATAAAGTGCTGCTATTATGATGATGACGCCTAACTCAGAAAAGGGAGGCTCTGAGATATAAAGTCACTTGTGTCAAGCCACACAGCATATAAACACAGGGTCAGACGTGGAAGGCAAGGTCCTCGCCTCCAAATCCTACAGTTTCCATCACGAACTGTGCTACATTAAACAGCAATGCAACCCCAGGCCTAGTTCTAAAAACCAGCTCGGCCTTCACTCGCTCGGTGACCCCGGTCCAATCACTTCGCTCCGGACCTCCGTTTTCTTCAACATAAAACAGGAAGGCTGGCTCAGGCAGCGGGTGGTCCAGGGCCTTTCCAGAACTGGCACTTCGAGAACACCGCATGCCTCTCACGACAACCGAGGGAGACCAGTAAGTGCCACCAGTAAGTGCTGCTCTCCAAGGACACGGAGACCAGGAGACAAGGAGTATTCAAAAGTTTATGTGATTCTCGGCCCGCCCCAACTCAAGAACGGGATGCACGTGGGAAAACGGACACCAAGGTCCTAGGTCTCCGCGCCCAGAACCACGTGCTCACTTCACTCAGCTGCCCGCGCCCCTCCCTCAGGTCTGGCAGTCACCCACGTTCACCTACCGAAATCCCAGCCCAAGCCGCGCTCAAGACTACCGCCGCATCAGACCAGCGCGCCTGCGCCACGAGCAAGTCGCGCCCCTAATCCCCGCCTCCCGCCCGGCTCACCAATCGCAAAGCCGCGCTAACGGGGGCGGGGACGGGGGCGAGATTAGGAGCGCTCTGGCCCCGCCCCACTCTAGACACGAGTGAGAGGTTTTCCGGAAGTTTAGCCAAAGAGAGAGAACACGGCTTTCCCCAAGATCGTTAATTGGCCGGGTCTGACGGAAGTACCCTCTAGGAATTTGGGAGGTGTAACTCTATGATGATTTAAGTGTGATGTTTCCGCACACTGCCAGGCCTACCCACTCCTCCAGGGGACCCACTTGGGACAAGACCCACTTGTAACCATGGTGACACACTGGGCAATTTGGTTTCTAATCTATCCTATGATTTTTATGGGCTTTCCATTTAAATAATATAACGTTGTGAAACAGTTGGAGAAAGACACCTTTATTACAGTGCCCAAGACAGTCTTTAAGACACGAATTCAAACTTCCATTCACAAAATAGTTTTTCGGCAGCTACCAGGTACGAGCGCTGCTGTAGACACTGGGGACAGTGAAGTGAACCAAACAGACAAAATTCACTGCATCAGTGTAGCTTACGTTCTAGAGAGAACACAGTCAATAAACCAATACAGTGAAATTTAAGCAGGGCAGGGAATGGAGCAAAGAACTCAGTAACCAAGATAAAGGGTATTTTAATACAATTTTTTTTTTTTTTTTTTTTGAGACGGAGTTTCGCTCTCGTTACCCAGGCTGGAGTGCAATGGCGCGATCTCGGCTCACCGCAGCCTCCGCCTCCTGGGTTCAGGCAATTCTTCTGTCTCAGCCTCCTGAGTAGCTGGGATTACAGGCACGAGCCACCATGCCCAGCTGATTTTTTGTATTTTTAGTAGAGACGGGGTTTCACCATGTTGACCAGGATGGTCTCGATCTCTTGACCTCGTGATCCACCCGCCTCGGCCTCCCAAAGTGCTGGGATTACAGGCGTGAGCCACCGCGCCCAGCACAATTGTTTTTTTAAAAAGCAAAATTGATGTAAAAAATTCATGGAGAACAAATTATCAAAATTTAAAGGACAATCTGTCAGTCAGCTGGTGCTAAAGGCTATAAAGAAAAAACTACAGAAGGAGAATGGAGTAGGGGTATTAAGTGTTAGCGACTTTTTTTTTTTTTTAAGATAGTTTTGCTCTTGTTGCCCAGGCTGGAGTGCAATGGTGCAATCTCGACTCACTACAACCTCCTTTTCCTGGGTTCCAGAGATTCTCCTGCCTCAACCTCCCGGGTAGCTGGGATTACAGGTGTCCACCACCACACCCAGCTAATTTTTGTAGTTTTAGTAGAGACCAGGTTTCATCATGTGGGCCAGGCTGATCTCGAACTCCTGACCTCAGATGATCCACCCGCCTTGGCTTCCCAAAGTGCTGGGATTTACAGGTGTGAGCACCTGGCCAAGTGTTAGCAATTTAAAATAGGAGGATCAGAAAAAGTGTCATCAAACAGGTGACATTTTAGCAAAGACGGGAAGGGGGTGAGAGACACAGCCTTGCAGATATTTGGGGGAAGAATGTTCCAGACACAGGAAACAAGAAATGCAAATGTCCTGAAGTGGGAACTGCATGTTACATAACCCTACCTAATAACAGCTACAATTATTGAATGCCTAAAACATACCAGACCCAATGCAAGACACTGGTGATTCTGATACTGGCCCCAAGAAGCTCTCAGCCCGCCAGGATCTTCCAGGAGCAACTCTGTGTGATGAGTGGTATGATAGGGGCTGACCAAACCCCTGTGGGAGCGTGGGGAAGGAAGGCTTCACTGAGGAGGTGACCTTTGAGCTGAACCTAAAGAATGAGTGGCGTCTACCCGGACAAGAATGGCAGTGGGTGTGAGTGCAGTGTTCAGGCGGAGGGACCAGGATGTTCAGAGGCACAAATCAGGAAATGATGAGCCAGTGTGAGGGAAGCATGGGGTGTGGTGCGGTTTAC